CCCCACTTGCAGGATGGGGATTCAGCACTCCAGACACTCCTCCAAATGCTGCTTCTATATTTCATGCTAAACACTCTGGTGTTCCATCACTGAAAATCCTGAACTCTTAGTCACAAGAGAGCCACAGAGATGCAGATACATGTCACAGTGGTTTCAGCTCTTGGCATTCACAGAAGCAGAAGTTCTGGTGTTCACTGTCCACCCGTTAATATCTGGTGCTACTTGAGGTGTCCCAGGGTATCTGTACCAGCCTCCAGCTGTCTCTCCAGAGACTGCACGCCTGCCATAGGACCTGAGACATTATTGCTGGGCTTGTGCAGTCATTTTGTTCTACCAGATTTCCAGGCTTTAGCTAAGTATATATAAAAGGTGGATCTTAGCAGTTTGTTACTAACTGGAGATTGATCCTGCCCATGAAGGTTGTGAGCTTTCCTAGGGCTGATTTTGCTGTTCAGTATCTTCACAGGAATTTGTTCTTATTTCAGAGCTCACAGCTTCATCTGTTTCTTCTGAGGCACGGAGAAGATGTAAGCCAGGCCCTTCTAGTCAAGCAACACTTCCACAGCCACGTATCTTCCAATAGTCACAAAAATCACATCTCCTTCAGAATAGAGCACATGATCTAGTTTTAGGTAGTCCTGAGAGGAGCAGGGAGTTGAACTTGATCATCCTTATGGATGCCTTCCAACTTGAGATATTCTATGATTCCATGATTTTCATTACAAATAAAGCATCTGATACACTAATCATATTTCCTGGAATATAAACCAACTTTTATTCCTACGGATGTCTTCGTAAGTTGCTGCAAATAGCTTGGACGAATAGGAGGTGGCTTGTCTGGATTGTTTACCTTGAATATTTGACATTAGTAATTTACAGTGAGCAATCCTTACCTTAGATCAATACTCAGACATTTCTCCTCCTTGATGAGACAGTGAAATTTAATGAGAGAAAAAAGGTACAAATAGATAATAAAGAACAACTCTTTACATTAATATTGCATTACACACATTACTTACTCCCAAACCCAGACACTGACAAATCCAATGTAATTGACAAGCCACACTTTAAAAGGCACATAGACATTATCAAATGCAAGCTTGAGAATAACCAATTATTTTTTTCCAAGTCTTTACATTGCAGCGTCCAGGCAACCTTAACCTATACTGCCACGGTGTCTCTAAAAATATAGGGTTATTTGTATACACAATTGAGTTTTTTATAAGGTACAGTGACACAAAATTGTAAGAGTTTATTTTGTTCTACCCTTTTCCCTTTCACCTAAAAATTACACTCATTCAGTGTATTTCTGAAGAAACTTTACTTAAAATTTTCCTTAAGTACCTTTTTGAATAAGGGCCAAAGATCATAAAATTAAGAACTTAGGACTACAGAAATCAAATTAATAGGCTAGTGTGCCTGGGGGAGTATATAAGAAACCACCATAATAACAGTAATGCTGACATATGTATATAAGAATACAGGCAAGTGTGCAACTGTGTATGTATTTGTATCTGCATTTTCAGCCTCTCTTGGAAAGGCGTAGTACACAATGTGAGCTTGAAAATCACCATTAAATTATTTCTAGAAGACACAACAGAGACCATACAGGACATACTAATATGGGTAGCTGTCAGGAATAAGTTCATGCATCAGGTATACTCTCTCTCACATCTCATGCATCTGATGGCAAATGCCTGCAGGACTAAACTAGGTGTGATGAGCTTTTGGGGAGATACTTGCTGGTTCAAAGGCACAATAAAAAGGGATTTTCATATTCCTGTGGAACTAGTTAAAAGCCTCAAAGGGAAACTTATTAGTACCTCTCTTACGCATGATTTAAACTTACATTTCCAGGGTCCTGATCCAGAGTCCGCTGAAATAGTGAAAATGTCCATTTCCTTTGGTGAGTGTTGCATTGCTTCTCTTTTCTTTTTCTTTTTCTTTTTCTTTTTTTTTCTTTTTTGTTTTTTTTTTTGCTAAATTCATGCCTTAGTTAAGCCCAGCTCAGCCATTCAATTGGATAACAGCAAACTCCAGCTTCACAAAACCTGGCATCCACAATCTAATTTTCTAGCTGAAAACCATAAGACCTTCAAAAAGTCACAGCCTGGGGTGTTTGCCTTTCAGTTTTTAGAGCCCATTGATTCAAATGTACTTGCATCACATTCTTAAATTGTTCCTACATCCCTAAGACTTAGAAATTCCTTTTGCTTTTGTTAATGGAAACAGTCTCTTGCACAGACACCTGCCCCAAGAATCTAAGGCTTTAAGAATGACATATTTAATGAAAGCACAAGGGTTAGTTTATGTTGACTTGTGGTTAACTGATGTTAACCACATTAAGTAATGCTGAGCCATAGATCTGGGGGGAAATAGTATCACTGAACAGTAAATTTGGCAAAACCTGGTTTTCTAAGGAGTGAGAATATTTGCCAAGTCAAATCAACTCTTACAAAGTGTTCTAGCCAAAAAAAAAAAAAAAAGAAGAAATGTTAAAAATGTCAAAACTCTCCTCAACATTGTTTGAGTGAAATGTTCTATTTCAGAAACATCAACACCTTGTATCCTCATTTTCTAAGACACTGATATTTTCTATATGGAAAGGCATTTTTTACTACAAACTGAACTGAGCTTCAGAAAGGAGGTGTTAGAAAGGGTTAAATAACCTGATAATTAAACTTGAGGAATTGCCTCAAGCCAGCTGGTCTTGGCATTGTTTTTCAAAACAAAAATCTTCAAATCCACTGTAACTTGCTGCGAGGAAACCCATAGCTTCTTAGCTGTGAGGAGATGGCTTAGTAGTTTAAAGTTATTAGGAAGGAATTGTCTTCCTAAACTTGACTGCCAGTTTTGACAACATTTCCTCAATGACCTTGACTACATCATTCAACCTTCTGTGCTTCAGCTTCCTACCTGCGTTTTTCTAGGATTGTATCGAAATCATCTTGTGTCAAGAATATTCATTTATCAGTACGGATTGTCATTTACTTTTCAGTTTATCTGTGACAAGGCTGTCTTGTAATGTCATTGTCATCTTATTAACTGGGAAAGTAGAGCTGTATGAGTATTTTTACCCCACTGTGGATTATAGGAGTTTGGTTGGTGTGGTTATTTCCATTCCTCTAAGTAATTGAGTGATTCTTCTAGTGTGTTTGTATGCATTCCTAATCTGTTCCAACTCACATTTGCCCCTCAGTAATCTTTCCTTCAAAAATAATTGTATTGAACTGTGGAAAATAATAAAGAGAAACATCATTGTACACACAGTGCCGCACACAGTTCCTTCCCCGGTGGAGGAAGGTTTCTCGTGCAACCTACTGTGTGCTCATGCTTTTTGCTTTCTTCACAAGGAAATGAAATAAATTTCCACAACCAAGCTTTAACCACCAGTAAAATACTAACCCTCTGGCACAGGTCATTACCAGCAAGGCAAAGCAGCTCACACAGAAGCAAATACTTGTGCCTAACCTGTGCTCTGGGACCTCTCAGAAGTTTTGCAATCTCAATTACTGGGACTAAGCCATTGTAAAGGTATTTGTGCACAGCAAGTTTCCAAATTCGCTTTCTCTTTCTATCCCACTCACTGGTCACTGGTGGTCCACAGGCTGCTGGGTGGCACCTTGATGGGGACAACACAAGGCCTTTGCTCCCGAGGGACCTGTGTGGGACATGGTATTGCTGCACGGCACAGGCACAGAAGCAGCCCCAAGCAACGCAGTTTATAGAGTGTTTGCAGACCAAAACTGTTCCTCTTCCAGCAACAAGAAAGGAGCAAAAATACTGGACAATTCCCAGTACCCATGAGTTTCATTTTGGAGTAAATGGAAGTATTTTGCTCCTGAACTATAAAAACATAAAATAGAAGTGTTTATCTAGCTCACACATGGATTATTTTCCAGAATGCAAATGGCCTCTGGCCACATATGCACTGGTCCTAGGACAAGGAAAACCCCCCAGCTCTGCCCTGCTGGACTCTGCCTCTCATCTCCAGAGACTACATTTCCTATGAAGGGACATCTCCACGAAGCAAATCTTCCATCATTGTTTACAGTCTGTGCTAAGCCAAATCCCAAAGCATTCAGTATAAGATCATCTCCACTGACTCTAAGGCTTGTCCTCCACTGACTTGATGATGTAGATGATCAAACCATCAGAGACATCTAAGGAAACACATACAGTTGCTACTGCAGAATGGTAAAATCAAGACACCCTAAAACCCACATTGCCTCCGCTGTGCACTACACAACTGATCAGAGAAGATTCTCAAACAAAAGGGATTTTTCTTTAGATGTTGTATTTGCCTCAGGCTGGCTTAAAGAACATTTGCTCAGAGCACATGCATCTTCTTTTAAAAATGGTCATGACCAGAGCAGTACCTCTGCAAGAAAAAAGACATGTTAAGAAAACAAGACACCTGAAAATATGTTTTCTTCAGAAACTCTGTGTTCTCCAGCATCAGTGCTGATTTTCTTATTGGCCTTGAGGGAGCACTGCTACATGCATTTTGGCTGGTTAGCAAAACCAAGCAAGAATGACTGCCAGGTATTTGAAATGCCTGAGCATCTTTTCCATTACACCAGGATAAATACTGCTCTCTGTTATAAACACAGGGTCTGGTCATATTCCCATCAAAGTTAGAGGCAAATTTCCCATTGACTTTAACAGTGCAACACAGGGCCTTTACAAAACAGACAGGATACCTTTGTATTTCCTACTGAATATGAAAAAGAAAAACCTGTGTACCAAAGTCTTTGATCAAAAAGAAAACAAACACATCTTAGGGGCTTTTTAATAACTTTTTCCCCAATAAAAAGACTAAAGTTGGCCTGAAATTATTATACCTGTTTGAACAGAAAGAGTACTTTCTTTCTAGCTAGGCATTATATCATTCAATCTGTGAACACAGAGATGTAATATAAAGTAATAAAGAGGAAATACAAGATAAAGTAAGATACAGACATATTAAATTGCTTAATGAAAACACAGGAGAAAAAGAGTGAGTAGAAAATATGGTTTCCTTTATTGAGAAAAATCCCTTTTCAAATGCTTAATCAATATAAGGTTCATATTTCCTGACTTGAGATATTTTTTACATTTATTTTTTTAGAAAATTATTAAATATCTTTAATGAATATAGATTGTCACTTCTCTGCAGCCTGGCCTGGCAGCGTCCTGGATAGATTGTTCTCTCTTACTCTGCTTCCTTTCTACAGCTGACTGTTCCAAGCACTCTATCTCATAATTTAATTTCAGATTATTCTTGTCACTGAATTCCATCCCATAAATGTAAATACTTATTTGCAAATGCAGCTGGAGAAAAGGAAATCCTGTAGGATCATGCTGTCGGTGATCTGGAGATGAGTCAAATTAACATGGAACATTTGTTATCACTTAATAGTTTTACGTTCTTGTACTGCAGACCAGATTGAGGCAATAAGAGGATTGTAGTTAAACCACTAGTATTCCTGTTTCATCAATATTCATTGTCCACATTCTATTAAATACTGGAGTCTAGTGACCAGGTTATAAGAATCTGAGACTTCAGTCAGTGCCTGAGGCCATAAACCCACCTACTCCACCATGGCATCTATCCTTAGGTTGTCCAGCATGGCATCTATCCTTAAGTTGTAAAAAAAAGCTTCTATGGTAACAACAGCTTCTATGGTGTTTGTAAATAGGCAGTTCTGCACATTCTCCCACCGCAGACCACTGGGGATGTAAGCCCACCACCCTGAACAATACCCCATGAATGCCTCTTGAGAGATCACTGAAAATTAGTGAATATCAGCTGAGGTTCTTTAAACTGCACTGTGTGGTTTGAACTGTACCCATGGCCAAGGGGCAGGCAGGTCAGGGGGGGCTGGAGCCCCCCCCCCACATACAGTGTGTACCACGCAGCACTGGCTGCAGGGGAGGAGCAGCGCCCGGAGGTGCCCTGGATTGGTTGTGCTGGGGTTAGGGAAATCATAGGAGGGGATCATGTAGAAACAGGCAAATAAACCATAGTGTATTGAAGCAATCTTACTTATATATCCAAGTTAAATCTGACTGGTTTCTAAGGAGTACCATTACAAGGAGTATGTACATATCACCTTGAGCATCATCTCTCCTTCCATTATAAAAATCTAATGATGCTTATAAACAGAAATGCGGTCAAGCTAGAAATAAGCTGTTACACAAAATGCTGACATCTCTAAATATAAAGAGTATCTGAGAGATTTTTTTTTCTCATTAAAAATACTGCATTTGTTTTTCTCAGAAGTAGGAGTCGTAAGAAAAATCAACATTACACTACCTAATTGTCCTTATTTTCATTTTGAATTCCCCTAGCGTGGGGCTGGGACAGCTCCACTTCTTTGTACCAAGTGCCATGACAACCAACAGACCCATTGGATAACTGCATTGCCATCCTGCTTGTTATCTGGGGAAAAATGTACACACCAAACACTCAAACTCTTTTTAGACTTATTAAATATAAATAACTAATATGATTTGACCTAGATAGCTGAATGTAATGTATCATAACATCCCAGTATAAAACAACTCTAAATGTAAAAGCATTTATGTACATGATGGAGACTAAGTAAAGTTGCTACAATGAGTTCATCAGTTGTATTACGTTTTAAGAGATTTCATTAAAAAAAAAAATGCTTTGAAAGTAAAAAATATGAGTATGGTATTCAAGACTTTAAGTACTAATTCTGTGCTGTAAGTACAAATTTCCATGGACAGCGTAGTTAAAGCACTTCTATAAATCGTATACATCACAAATCTCTATAATTAGTGTCCCCAAAGAAAAATTTATTTTAAGTTGCTCTTAGAGCTCTAGCTTTTTCACTTTACTGGAACCCAAAAATATAACAGCATTTAGCAGTATCCATCTATAAAACAAGCTGTACTTACATACACATTCAAACACAAATAAACGAAATACAGATATATGAATTTACGGCCACTAGCCATTACAGAAACACCACTTATGAAAAGGTGTATCCAACTCAATGTAAGTCTTATGCTTCTCTTTCATCTTGCAGTTAATCGATATATACGAGAAATTTTATCTGATACCAATGTCCAATTTGCATTTGATGTGCAAAACCCAACAATACATCCAGCTTTACTTCTTGTCCTTATAAATGATGTTATCATTTTCACAGATAACCTATTTAAACATCCTAATGTTTCTCTAAGCACCATCTTTCTGGTAGCTGACCTTTGCAAGAGAATATAAGATTCTTACCTGAAAAATGACAAAGAGCTGTAGAGCAAACTTCACACTTCAGATGACTCAAGGCTCTCATTTAATTAGCATATCTTTATCTCATCCCAATTTATATTAATGAATTTCTTGTCAATACAGGAAAAAGGCCTGGCACCTGCACCCTAGGACCTAGGAAAGAAACTGCTTTAAAGAGGATGAGTTTGGAGTTCTTTGTCTGATTTTAACTTTATTCACTTCCATTGTCCTGTCCTCTAATCAGTATTATTCCATTCTATCACAGCTTCCTCTTCAAACATCTCTCCAGTCTTCTTTCCTCATATCACTCAATTCCCACAGCCTTTGTTTTGTATTTGATTTTATTTTCTCCCCTTTAATGTCTCTCCAAACATTTAATTGCTTTTTCAGTTTCCCAGATAACATCCAGAGATGTTCAAACATTAATGGCTTTGCTTCTAGCTACTGACCAGCCATATAAATCTGTTCACACACCACAACTCTCTTCATGAAAATTAGGTTCAACTCTGTCCTAAACTTCAATACAAAATCTGTTTGAAATCTGTTGATTTAAACCAGTGTGCCACTACAAACACATTTGTCGATGCAGAACAACCACCTTCATGACCCTCATGTTTTGACACATTTGAATCTGTCGGGAAGTCCAAAATAAATGAATTTCATTTGTAGCTGGGAGACAAATAAAACTGATTTGGGTGGAGGTTCCCCTATAAACTAATTGCATTAGTCTCAGCACTGCCTTTCATCTGGTACCACACTCATTCGTCTTTTGCTTACAGGAAGGGGAGACTGCTTCTTCTGCCACCCCTAATTCAGACCACACAGCTCCAGCAAAGATGCACAAGTTGGCTTGAGGTTGGAATTTTTCCCACAGGAGCTGGTGAAATCACTTCTTCTCTGTTTGAGAACAAACTACACTCACGTGAGTGCACCAGGGAAGGAGGACTGTAGGAAAACGTAACTAAACTGCTTGTACATGTTGTCCTCTGTGGAATGTTCTTATTCCTTTGCTTCATGACGGCCTAAGTGAGGAAAAACAAGATAAACATTTAACTAACATGTGAAGTCACCCCAATTATTTATTACTGGGACTTTTTTGTTTGTTTGTTAACTCCATTCACTGAAGCACCCCCTGGATGCAGTTTCCAACAGAAAATTTATTAACTGGAATTGAATATCAAAACCACGGGATATGCACAGCTGCACTATGGAAATGTATGTCACCTCCTGCACGTTACCCTATTTTTTTTTCAGAGTTTAAACGAGTGTTTGAAAGAGGAACATGGGGGTAAAATATTTAGAGGAAAAATATTTAAAAACAAAAGCATCAGATTTGAAGCCCTATATATGACCCTACAGTACTCAACTACCTATGAAATACATGTACATTTCTATGAGCTGAAACTGATGTGCGAAAATTATGTTTGCAGCAAATGAGGAAGGCTGACCAAATGATGCCCAAGCACCATTAGCCACAGCCCTGAGAGACCCAAACCAACCACGTCACTGCTCACAGGAGAAGAAGCAGGTAAACAGGACAGAAAATGTAGAACTTGATGAACAACACGACTATGGTCTAACAATATGGGGGATAACAAAAGTAAACAAGGACAGTAAGTAATGTCTAGGGTAGAGAAATCAACTGCATTACATGCACAGGCAGTGGTACCCAGTTCTGTGAATTCTGTGTTTTAGGACTAACTGGGAACCATTTTTGCTGAACCAGTGGCTACCAGTTCTGGAGTGGCATTCCCTTTACAGGCTGGTAATATTGCTGAAAATCAGTTTTGTGTTTCAACTAGGGGATGTTGGCAAAAAACAGTGGAAAAACTGACACACAGGTAATGCAGACAGTCCGCTTCTGGCTGCCAGCTACCTTCAGCAAGATTCCTGCCAGCCCACACAGCTCCAGCTCTGCATACACTAGTAACTACACTATCTCTACAACAAATTCCTTTCCACTTCTTCTGCACTTGGTTAAATACCTGCTTCCCCTTCATGCACACAGTGCTGAAGTTACAAACAGAACTTTAATTTGCTCAATATGCTGTCCCCTTTCCCACATTGCTGTTGCACTGGATTGTCTTGAACCCAGTGTCACTCTGCATTTCCCAACTTGTCAGCCGATAGAGTTAGGCCAGCCTCTGTGCCTTGTTTTCCACTTCCTCCTTTAGATCAGACAACCATGTGGGGATCACCTGAAAACAATTAAATAAGAAACTCCTCACCCTCCTTTGCACACACAAAACCAGACTCTTGATCAGAACAGCTCCAGAGAGAGGACACCTCACAGACTGCTTCAGTGCAGAGAAGTCCAGAGCCAGGCTTGTGGGAGCACACCATGATGGGATAGATGTGTCAGGAAAGTTTCCCAAACCTTTCATTCCCAGGTGGGTGTCTTAGACACTGCTGTGCCATGTTTGCGTTTCAAACACCAACCACAAGTATCCTAGCCCCTCTTCAGTGAATGCAGCCCACACGAAACCAAGATATTCACAAGGAGGCTTGATACAGTATTTCCTATGCACAATGTATATGTGAGAAAGAAAAAAAAGACTCAATTTCTGCTGCATTTAAGGATACAGATTTTGGCACCTGAATTTTCTTCCTCTATCGGCCCAATGATGCTTTTAAGTGTGTTATTTTCTGGCCGTCTTTATTTTCAGCACACTGTTCCTCTGTCATTCTCACACAAATCAATAGATACTAATAGCATCACACAGGCAGGGGTGGAAGCCTTGCAGTAACTTCTGGAGACACAGACATGGTTTATTAATTATCACATTATCTTTGGCTCTTTCCCCCTCTGCCCTCTTACCTACCCCCCAGGGCCTAAGACTGTGCAGCACTGAGAGACTGTAATGAACATCTTTGTTTTACTTAGGTAAAAGTGGTCAGGAAGAAATTGTCTGTTCCCACAAATAAAAAATTACTTTTGCTAAATGTTACTCTAGCTTGTTACAAGGTCAAGGAATGACAAAACTTGCTCCCTGGTTTGTGAGACAGGTATGGATGCAATAACATTCCTGCTCAAAAATTCAACAGCTAAAACCATTGTGACGATGAGAGTTTTGCTACACAGAAAATGGAAGATCACTGGTTTCCCAGTGAGTGACAGCCCTTTCACCTACCCCTGGAAGAAGACAGCAAAAATACTGAGAAACTATATACAGTCATGTTTACAGTATTTTATTCTGTCTTATAGCATAATGCATTTAGAAGTGAGGAGCACACAACTCCATTACCTTCTTACATGATGAAACAAGTGGACTGAGAAGGTGAAAATCAAAGAAAATACTTTACTCGAGTGACTCATAAGAATATTTCACAAACAACAGGTTTTGACATTTAGAAGTATGGACACGCTTCTATTCCTGCCACAAACATCTGCGCAAATGAAACCAGCTTACACCAGGAGGTACCGACCAACACCTGCTACCCCTAACAGCAACTGCCTGTTGTATATGCTGTTTATTGACCATAAACTGCATTCATTTCTGTTTCTCAAGGTTGTTTAGGTGAAACTAATTAAAAACATCAAGATTGTTGTCTCTCAGTCACTAAACACATAGACAACAGGAAAGTCATTTTAAAGATGGGTTAAATAAAAACATTGGTTTGCTTTTTCAGTTCTGGCTGCCTAAATGTACAAGGGTACAGGAGCAGGCAGATTTGTCAGTTCCACACACCAGTGAGAATGAGTGCAGTCAACTTCTGAGCTGCCACCAGCAACACTAAAGGGCAGAGAATGACAACAATCCTTCCACATAAATACTAGTTTCATTTCTGATAAAATCTTGACTTCCTGTTTCATGGTCCTTTCATAGTCTAGTCTTCACAAGCACTGCATTACAGAAAGCAGTTATCATGCAAGAACATTGTTACACTTAGTTTTATAGTTATGACAGTGCAGAATGAAAGGAAAACGCTGTTTCAGTACACCAGACAGCATTGCACTTCAGGAGAAAAAAAAATTGTTCAGACCTCTGTAGCATTCAAAAATCTTTCCTCTGCACAAACGTGGCTTTTATTTAGATATTCAGAGTGCAGAATATTCTGCTATAAGAGACATAGATGCTATTTGTTACTGGGAGAAAAATCTTTTATGAATACTTGCATAAGACAGCTTTATGTGCCTCCAACACATCGTTTACCTGATTTCCCATAAATACATTTTTTCTTCAACTACCTCAAAATCAGCAACAAAACACAGAGGCACAGTCAGTCATGAGGGTACACACATATTGCTGCCTCACAGGTAGCTGGAAGGCTGAAGTTTCTGTTAGAAGAGGAAATAGTTAAAGCAATAGATAGGAATTACCAGTTTTACCTCTGCTTAACCCATCCCAAATAATACAAAAAGTCTCCTGTGATTTAAAAATTACTACATATTTTAAGCGAATGAAGAAGGTGATGAAACATTACAAGGAGACAGAGGCAGGCACGTCTTTTTATATGACAGGAGAGTATTCATAGCATGTCATTTTATCTGAGAAAGAGATGGGTTTGATAAGGAGAAAGGTGATTCCTCCTTCAGTGAACAGACAACATAGATGTACACATATTTTGCTTAATTTACAGCTACAAGTATACTTGCATACCTGATTGTGATGCAATTTCTAAGCTTCAGTTCAGAAATAGTTTTGTAGCACTGATGAAATACCACTAGAGATACGACCTAGAGTCAGTGCAGGAGCAGGACGGGAGATACAGCACATGCACAGCCTCCAGCACATGCAGGTGCCAGAGAAGCACAAAACCCTTTTCCCTTTTGCAGATTCATGTTGTTCCTATTTCCTAAAACACAGGAATAGGCACATGCCAGTTCCAGCAGCTCCTACAGTGTAGGGAAACAAAAAGGATCCTTTAGCTTCAGCAGCAATGACAATTCTCTCTTTCCTTACTTAAGAGAAACATTTTGGAAGAGGTGTGTTGCAACTGAGGTCAAGGTTGTAAGTGAGGTCAATAAAAGATTCCACCTATGCTAAGTGAAGACTCATGGGAAAATTGAAAAGAATTTTCTTATTCTCATCCAAAATAAAATTCACTGGAAGGCCTTTGGAGATTCTAGACAAGGACAGTCGCTTCACTCCTTTAACATGGCTAGAACTATCCTACCTTGTTTCCACAGCATGAAGAGGAATGGATACCACTGTAACATGCATGTCTCCTTCACATCTTAAGTTATTTAAAAACAGATGAATTTGAGCTTCTTTATTCATCCTCAGAGGAGCTAAGTAGTTCAATATTCACAGTTCTGTATTTTTAAGCAAAACACTTAACATCACATCAGTAGCATATAAGCTGATGGGTGTTTTATGCCCTGTTCATATAAAAGCCCATTAGCTAACTGTGTTTCAGCCTTTGAGGATGGTAGGAAAGGAACCTTTAGTTGATGAACTGCACAGTTACCACCAAAGAATCCCTGCACACATCTCTACAAATAAAATTTTCGTGTTCTTTCTCCAGTAGACATCAGCATGGTCATTAGAGAATGTGAGAGTTTTCCAAAGCTTAATAGGCTTTTCCTTTCTACACCTAGCAGTAACTTGTCCACAGTAAGCCTTTGTACTTGACTGTGGACCCACAAGTATAAGTTTGGTCTACTTAGTTTAGATTTTCTACTTTTTCACATTAGCTATACTTTTTACATCCCAAGAGGATGCTTTGAAAGCCCTGTGCTGTACAACATCATCTGGAGTTCCAAACTCAGGAGTTTTCACCTGGTGCTTAATTTTTCTCTTTCACTTTCTCCAAACGGAATCTCCCTTCCCATGAGGCAAAGCTCATCATCATGTATATGGTGTTATTCTCACCTGAATTGTGTCTTTGGCAATCAGGTTAAAGGCATAAAGAGGATTCTGCTTCGGTTCTTATTTCTTGTGAAGTAGAGAAGAAGGAAAGGGATGTTTCTTTTCTCTTTATGAGATGCAAACACCAAAAGAAATAATTAATTGTGGAAATTCTTATCTACCAATAGGGTATCTTTTCCAAGAAAAACTATTCTGCATACATTAACATAAGCCACATATATGATTGGGTTTATCTTTTTGTGTGCATTTTTTCTTCCTGATGGCAAGCTAAAAATAGAATAATAGAATAGTTTGGGTTGGAAGGGACCTTCAAAGGTCCTCCAGTCCAACACCCCTGCAATGAGCAGGGACACTTTCCACTAGATCACTGCACTCTGCAAAACAACCTCTTGGACAAATCTGGCTTGAGAAATCTACCAATTTACTTATTTTAATAAGCCTATGACCTGTCAGACAACAAAGTAAGCAGGGAAAGCTCTGCTGGACTCTGGGCTTTTCAGCTGTTTCTGTATGTAAAACAATCGATACATATGTACATATTTATGCGAGGGGGAGAACAAGTTCAGATTTAACAGTCAATATGCGTATGTGCATACCACAGCACACAGCTTGTTGTTAATAAAAAAAGCTAATACACAAAACTTTGTGAGTTTACTTTTCATTAGAAAAGCTCAATAAACACAAGTGCTGACTTTCTTCTAATCTGCTCTCACCAAATAACCTCAACATAATTTATTCTACCCACTGAAAATTTTCACTGTTTATCAGTTTAAAATTGATCCCTCTTTTCTTGTTTACTGTTGCAATAACAGCTCTGCAGCTGAAGGAAAAAGGGTTTATTCTTAGAAATAAAAGGAACACAGTCGTATTCATGTAACGGTATTTTCCTCATATTGTAGAGTTATAAAAATGGAGAATGAAACTGTTGGAGGGAGGGGGCTCCTACTCTGCAAATTCACATTATATGGTAGAAACAATTCCACAGAGGATGGCCACCCAGTTTGGCAGTTTCTGCCTGATGTTATTCCACTTTCACTTTACTGAATAAAACTGTCTTCTGCTACACCAACATTTCTATGTCCTACTAAAGCAGTAATCTGCTGGTTGCAATATGAAGTTTCGCTGAGTTCATTGACAGCTCAAGGTCTTCAACATCTCGCTTAGATTCTGATCCAAAATATACTGAGGTAAGTGACGCATTCCTCTTACCAGAGTAGACTTCATGACACAGTACCCTGGGCAGGCCCCTTTTCCACCAGGTGGTCTGGGGTATACCACTGGATTGACACACTTTGCTGTTCAGAAATCAGGTTGTTGACACATGGGTAGGAAACTCCCTTCTACCTAAGGTGCACACAACTGCATACTGCTGGCAAAAGCCATGCTCCCCTAAAGTTAGAGATGACTCTTCCAGCAATATCAAAGGGAACTGGAATGGATCCTTCAATCAGCATACTGTGGCCCACAAAAACAACAGTACTTGTAACCTGATATAGTTCAAAACTTCAGAGAGGGAAAAAAGATACGTATTACCTGTGCTGGCACAGCCATTAAAAAAATGTACCTACTCCAGTGAGATCCCTCCAGGTGTCCCTCTGCAAAAATATCTCTTCTACTCTTTGTGGGCTTTTCTAAATATCTTGGTAAAACAGCAGCAAATTAAAGAACACCATTAGAAAGGGCAGTCCCATACTGTTAAGCATTTAATGCTTATTTTGCGTGAGTCCAGCAGGGGTCATATGAGGGACAGTGACTTGGTTTTATATACTTTTTTCCCTTCATTCTCTCACTTCTCCAGCGGTGGCACAGCCACAGAGGGACAAGGTAGGAGTTGGAATAGCTCCAAGAAGCCTGACTCACCCTCTGGGATGCCATCCACAATGCAGAGTGGTAAAAACTGCACTATCCCTTCACCAGCACACAAGCCTTGCTGCAATTTGGTTCTAATGATGCTAGCCCAGGACCCTGGAGACATGCAATTCCACATGGCCATGTTGCTCTAGTAAAGTACCTTGTCTCCTGCTGCATCTTTATAATATTTTCCCCGTGGTGAAATACAATAGAGCTGAGTTTACTGACGTACCTATTGGGAACTCCTGACTACTGAATGCTTGATGTCATAATCCTAACACTGTGTGGAAAAGGGTTTTGATATATAAAAAGTCCTCCCCAGAGTATTTGATTAAGTAGGTCGAGCTCTTACCTAGGTGAAATTATTTCCTTCAGTTTACTACAGAGGCTGCACTTTCAAGCAGTGTTTCACCATTTAAGCAATTTGCCTGCATTAATCATAGAATCATAGACTCACAGAATTGGTTTGAGTTGGAAGGGACTTTAAAAATCATCTAGTTCTAACCACCCAGCCACAGGCAGGGACGCCTTCTACTAGACCAGGTTGCTCAAAGCCCCATCCAACCGGGCCCTGAACACTTCCAGCTAACAAATGTGCGTGGACTTTGTTTATCTCTGGCCTCTTACAACATTTGTTTGGCCTTACAAGTACAAGCTAGTACTCAGCCTCAACTCCCATTAAGTTCATCTGAGCTGAGAATGTCCAGCATCTTGCAAGTGACACATAGTGCAAATCATCCTTGGCCCTTTTTACAGCCCTTTTGCCCTTTTTCTTCTTTGTTGCCTGTACCTTCTGTCCCCTCTGTTCTTAAGGTGATACCTCTGAAGGTAAGTAAAGGTTTTCTGTTTGACACATTCACAACATATGTAGACTTCTACTTGGTGCTTGTCTCTGTCTGATTGCTGCTTTACAGCATAAACTCTATTTTGCTACATTCTCCAGCAGTCCACAGTCCATCAAATTTGGCTTAAAAATGAAGTTCCTCTCTACAGTTCAGGTGGTTGACACTGGGTTTAATTCCCTTTCCCAGATCTTAGGATTTAATGATCATATTTCTACAGAAGGTCTACTGCATCAAGCTTTATTCCCACACTGAGGCTTAAATTTCCTTTGAAATATCAAGTTCATTTATTTTATTTTACATGCATTTTGATATTATTTTGGTATGTTTCCTTTTAATTCTAATTATCACTTGGTTTAGTTTTCTGCACTGATATATTTTCTTTTGTTCCCATCACTAAAGCAGTTGTTTAATGGTTAGCTATAAATTTGCGTTTCTTTGATCTCAGGTGTCCTTCTGCCTAAAGAATTAATGGTGGGTTTGATAATATATACTCCAAAGGTATATTGTTTTGAACAACTCTTTTGACCTACTTGTTTCCATAATGTTTGAGGTTTCTGTCAATGTGATTTCTCTTTATCATTTTTCTTCCCTTCCCTTTACCAGAGGCTGATTTTCTCCTAACAACCTACTGCATTTCAATTCAGCAAAACTCCCTGTATTTTTTAATTTTTTTAGGTTATTGAAGTCCCCAGATTCCAAAAACATTAATTTTACATTTCGTCAAATAGAAGGAAGTTCAGCAGATTCAAATAGAACCAGACTGAATAATCTTACCTATGAATGCCCTTTTTCTATCACTTTGAAAAATTCAGCATGGATGAAATTGTTCCTGTGATAGGTGACAAACAAAACTGAAGTCTTACTTAGTTAGATCAGAGATATAAAACTCTTTGTTACTGAAAAAAAAATATTTAACTCTCTATAAATGTAACATGCAGACACTCCTGATCCATCCAGTAGGAATTTTATTTTACAAAAAGACCCCAATCTTGCAATACAATCCGAACAAAAGAGCCCTTTTACTTCCACTAAAAGACAGTGAATCTATAAGGCATAAGGTTTGCAGAGGTGTTCTGGCACTTAAAATACAGACAGGTGCATAGTAAGATCTGAAAAAATGTCCAGAAAGTGAATTCCCACTGATAAAATTTCAATCCAGCTCATTTTAGTGCCTACAACACAACCCATTACACTATAAATCAAACAAGAAAAAAAATTCAAGAATTGAGATTTTTGTCCCATGGAAGAAGAAAAGGTTGCTTTGGGAAAGGTTTGGGCCATGTGTTCTAAAAGATCTCTGAATTCAGGGCAAAATTATTCACCTCTATGAACTCTGCTATGTGGTCAGAGATGTGCTGAGTACCGCACCATTGTTTTGCTTCCCAACAATACCAAGTGCATGTGCTCATGGAGTGTCAAAAGGCGTTTGCACCAAGAGAGAATGAAACTTGTGATTACCAATTTTATTTTTTTAAAAAGAGGCTATTGTGTTTAAAGGCAGAATAGCTTCATAGTCAATATAACATGCTTTTAATGATAATAGATTATTACAAATAAACCAAAAATGCACTGTTTGGGTTCATATTATCACAGTGGGTTTGAAGATACACTTCTCAGCTTATATCTCAGAGACAACTGCATTTGGCTTCCAGAGTTAAGAACATTTTCAAATTGCTTTTCACAGAATGTAAGAAAAGTTTCACGAAGTTCTAGTGGATATTGGTTCTAACCCAAACTCAGAGCTCGTACCTGCAGTATGAATGAAGTGCTCCTTACAATTAAAATAAATTTCAAAGTTTGATTATATATGTACACCATATATATGATACATCTATTCTAACTAGACAGGCTATAAACCCTTATGTAATAACAAACTATTACAAAATTATCACCAAATATAGAAAGGTTTCTGTAAATACCACAGTGACGTTGTCTTGGAAAGAACAAATATTTAGGAAATGACTGCAAACAAAACTGACATGTACAGACACACAGTAAGAACCTCTGAGCTATCTCAAGCTAATTTTGTAAATCCCTGTGTAATTCACACAGCAAGTTTAGAAAGTCATTAAATTAGGATGTTACTGGAAATCTTCTTTCCTCTAACATCAGCCACAGCATCATCATAAATGCCTTTAACCAGAAGAAAGCTATTCTGCAGACACAGGTGTACTTGCAGCCGCAACATCACTCCTTGCAGCCAAGATCTGAGCAAACGTAGCAGCTCTTTGCTAAATCACGGCCTCTGTCTGTGTAACAGTTAACATTTCAGAGGTGGCCCTGTTGGACAGGGTCTGGTTTATTTTATAAGTTCTTGGTATCTACACTAAAATAAACAAAGAGAAGTAAAATAAAATCTACACTACCTACACTAGAATAAAGTGTAAAGACAGTATTTTCATGGCAAAACAACACCACGCTTCTGCAATTAGTTCGAACATTTATCATTATGAGTTAAGGAGGGAAAAGTGCAGAAACTGTTATTGCAAACTGTTTTAGAGGGGAAACTGATTATAAATATTTGAGAATCATTCCTTCTTTACATGACAATTTTATCCATATAAATCATTGCAATTAGGTATTCATTACACTTCCTGCACCACTGATTAACAAGCTAAAACTGCAATGGTTAAGGCTATGAAGAATTGGACACTCCATGTTGATATGGGCATTTACTATCTTTTTATAACTGTTTGAGAATGTTTTTTGATTTATATTTTAAAAAGAAGTTTAAAATGCTCAACAAATATTTCATTGTCCTCATACTGCTCACTGCTGCCACTTGTTTGGAAAAATGAAAGGTAAGTTGAAAAATGCACCTTTTCCATTTTCATCTCTAATTGAATTCTCTCTTGACCCCCTTATTCCCCATGGCTGTATTTCAGGTTTTGATGATAAGAAAAGGAATTTTGTATTTGGATAATACAATTTTCTCACTTGCCTTCAGCGACCTTCAGCTCAATTTCCTCTCCCCAGAGACACTATATATTATAGAATTGAATCAAATTCCTTATTCATAGGAAAAAAGTTCCAATTTAATCTGAATATTCAGCATTTTACACTGGTCAGGGTGATGGATGGCAAATTGAAATGCTTTTGGTTCAGGTAATCAAATGGTAGAATTCAGACTTGTATTGAAAAAAATAATGAAGTCTATTCAATATTCTCATAAGGCGCAAAAGAATGCACACTACATGGTAGAACTGGGGTTTTTTCTTATTATCTAGCCAATAACATCTCCATTGCAAAAATTATAGTAAAACATTAACAATTTATGTAGGTTAGAACATGTGAAAAGAAGCCACCATTGAGGGAAAACACAGGCACCTTCCTATGAGAACTCAAACGAACGAGTACAAAACCGAGGCAAACACAGATCTGTTCCCAACATATACCTGCAGTGTTCAACACTGGCTTACTAAAGCCATTTAATATATTTTAAAATGCTTTTAGAGAAAGAAACACAGCCTTTTTAATCACTTCAAGTCATCTGATATACTAAACTATTGTAATGCTTCATTTCCATCCCCAAAAGTTTTGTAAAGTATCATTACCAACCATCTGACTATTTCCGAAGAACTACCAGTTTCATTTTGGAAAACTGTCTTGCTGCTTTTCAAGTTCAACCCCAAAACCAACCGATTAGAACAGCTTCACTTTTGCACCACCTTACTGATGCAGCATGCTTAGACACCTGGACTTGGAAAAGATGTCTCCAGGAAAACAAGATACTAATGCTGCATAAATATGGTTTGGTTTAAACTCTCCACCAACAGTCCCTTTCTTCCCTTCTAGAGATGAATGGAATTATCCTGTTTGGGTTCTAAATACTGTATCAGAGTTACTCCTTTTCTATTTGCAGTATTTGATCTACACGGAATTCTTAACCACAGACACCACTAGCATTTAATTAAAATTGCAATGCCGCCACCTACATGTTAAGGCACTGTGCTAAAAATGTACTCCCAGGCTGCCTTTACTGACTGTACTGAAACTTGTGCAAAAGGGAAGGCCTCCCCCATGTTTATGCTCTCACCTCGCACACATCTACTGCACAGCCATTATCCAGGCCAGGCTGATGAGGAGATCTCCCACTCAGAGTAACTTCCTCATATCTGTAACTTCCAGTATCTGAAGGGGGCCTGTAAGGATGCTGGGGATGGACTGTTCATTAGGGACTGTAGCGATAAGACAAAGGGTAACGGGTTAAACTTAAAAAAGGGGAAGTTTAGATTGGATATAAGGAAGAAGTTCTTTCCTGTAAGGGTGGTGAGGCACTGGAATAGGTTGCCCAGGGAAACTGTGAATGTTCCAACCCTGGCTGTGCTCAAGGTCAGGTGGGACAGAGCCTTGGGTGACACGGTTTAGTGTGAGGTGTCCCTGCCCATGGCA